TCCATCTGACCTTCCTCTCAAAAGCTCTCAGAGACGATCAGATGTATTTCCAGTGATTTCAGAGCATGCTAAGGAGGACAATAAAGCAGATGTCATTGTCTCGTACATTCTACTTTCCAATTATTAATGGATATTTGCAGCTCTTTTTTCTCATTTTGAGTCGTGCCACATCAGCAAATAAAAGTTCCAAAAGCTTAACTCCAACCACATCATTAAGGTTGACGCTACTTTGAGGAAGCAGCTCTTTTCCAGTCATATTTTGAGTGCCTTCCAACCTGAGGGGCTCATATTCTGCTGCTATTCACAAGGTTTTCACGGGCCAATTTTTTCAGAAGTAGACCACCAGGTCCTTCTTCCTAGTCTGTCTTAGTCTGGAAGCTCCGCTGAAACCTGTCCACCATAGGTGACCCTGCTGGTATTTGAAACACTAGTGGCATGGCTTCCAGCCTCACAGCAACAGACAAGACACCACAGTATGATAAACTGACAAACGCATGGTGGTATGACTCTAGGAAAATTGGAAGTTGTCAAAAATGAAATGGAATGCATAAAGATCGATATCCAGGCATTAGTGAGCTGAAATGGACTGGTACTGGCAATTCTGAATCAGACGATCATATGATCTACTATGCCAGGAATAGCAAATTGAAGAGAAATGGCACCTCATTCATCATCAAAAAGAACATTTCGAGATCTATCCTGAAGTACAACACTGTCAGTGATAGGATAATATCCACACACCTACCAGGAAGACCAGTTAACAGGACTACTATTCAAATTTATGCACCAACCACTAATGCCAAAGATAAAGAAATTGAAGATTTTTATCAACTTCTGCAATCTGAAATTGATCAAACATGCATTCAAGATGCATTGATAATTACTGGTGATTGGAATTCGAAAGTTGGAAACAAAGAAGGGTCAGCAGTTGGAAAATATGGCCTTGGTGATAGAAATGACGTGGGATATCGCATGGTAGAATTTTGCAAGACCAATGACTTACTCATTGCAAATACTTTTTTTTAAACATAAACAGCGACTATACACGTGGACTTTACTAGATGTAAAACACAGCAATCAAATCAACTACATCTGTGGAAAGAGACGATGGAAAAGCTCAATATCATCAGTCAGAACAAGGCTGACAGTGGAACAGACGATCAATTGTTCCTATGCAAGTTCAAGTCGAAGCTGAAGAAAATTAAAACAAGTCCGCAAGAGCCAAAAAATTACCTTGAGTATATCCCACCAGATTTGGAGACCATCTCAAGAATAGATTTGACATATTGAATACTAATGACCAGACGAGTTGTGGGATGACATCAAGGACATCACACATGACGAAAGCAAAGGTTCATTTAAAAAGACAGGAAAGAAAGAAAAGACAAAAAGGGATGTCAGAAGAGATTCTGAAATTGCTCTTAAATGTAGAGTAGCTAAAGCTAATGGAAGAAATGATGAAGTAAAAGAGCTGAACAGATTTCAAAAGGCAGCTCCAGAAGTCAAAGAAAAGTATTATGATGAAACGTGCAAAGAGCTGGAGTTAGAAAACCAAAATGGAAGAAAACACTGGGCATTTCTCAAGCTGAAAGAACTGAAGAAAAAATTCAAGCCTTGAGTTGCAATTGTGAAGGATTCTATGGACAAAATATTGAATGACAGGAAGCATCAAAAGAAGATGGAAGGAATACACAGAATTACTGTATCAAAAAGTATTGGTGGATATTCAACCATTTCAGGAGGTAGCATATGATCAAGAACTGATAGTATTGAAGGAGAAGTCCAAGCTGCAATGAACGCATTGGCAAAAATACAAGGCTCCAGGAAATGATGGAATACCAACTGAGATGTTTTAACAAACAGATGCAACACCAGAAGTGCTCACTCATCTATGTCAAGAAACTTGGAAGACAGCTATCTGGCCAACCGACTGGAAGAGACCCATATTTATGCCTATTCCAAAGAAAGGTGAATGAACCGAATGTGGAAATTATCAACCAATATCATTAACATCATACGCAAGTAAAATCTTGCTGAAGATCTTTCAAAAGCAGTTGCAGCAGTTCATTGAGAGAGAACTTCCAGAAATTCAAGGCAGATTCAGAAGAGGACTTGGAACGTGGATGTCACATGGATCCTGGCTGAAAGCTGAGAATACCAGAAAGATGTTTACCTGTGTTTTATTGACTAAGCAAATGCATTTGACTATGTGGATCATAATAAATTATTGATAATATTTCTAAGAATGGGAATTCCAGAACACTTAATTGTGCTCATGAGGAACCTGTACGTAGATCAAGAGTCAGTTGTTTGAACTGAACAAGAGGATACTGCATGGATTACAGTCAGGAAAGATGTGTGTCAGGGTTGTATCTTTTCACCATACTTATTCAATCTGTATGCTGAACTAATGATCTGAGATGCTGGACTATATGAAGAAGAACTCAGCATCAGGATTGGAGGAAAACTCATTAACAACCTGCGATATGCAGATGACACAACCTCGCTTGCTGAAAGCAAAGTGGACTTGAAAGGCTTACTGATGAAGATCAAAGACTATAGCCTTCAGTACAGATTACACCTCAACATAAAGAAAACAAAAATCCTCACAACTGGACCAATAAGCAACATCATGATAAACGGAGAAAAGATTGAAGTTGTCAAGGATTTCATTTTACCTGGATCTATAATCAACAACCGTGGAAGTAGTAGTCAAGAAATCAAACAATGTATTTTGCATTGAGCAAATCTCCTGCAAAAGACCTCTTTAAAGTATTCAAAAGCAAAGATGTCACTTTGAGGACTAAGGTGCACCGGACCTGAGCCATGATATTTTCAATCCCCTCATATGCATGGGAAAGCCAGACAATGAATAAAAGACCAAAGAAGAATTGATGCATTTGAATTATGGTGTTGGCAAAGAATAGTGAATATACCATGGACTGACAGAAAAATGAACAAGTCTGTCTTGGAAGAAGTACAGCCAGAGTGCTCCTCGGAAGTGAGAAAGGTGAGACTTTGTCTCACATACTTTGGACATGTTATCGGGGGAAGTAGTTCCTGGAGGACATCATGCTTGGTAAGGTAGAGAGTCAGTGAAAACAAGGAAGACCCTCAAGGAAATGGATTGACACAGTGGCTGCAACAAGGGGCTCAAACATAGCAACGATTGTGAGGATGGTGCAGGGTCTAGCAGTGTTTTGTTCTCTTGCACATTGGGTCGTGCGATGGAACCTAACAACAATTTCTAAAAATAAATTTTTAAGTCTTACATTTATTAAAAGAGAAAAGACATTCAAGAAACTTCAGTTGTCGTTTGTTCTCATTTTTTAAAAAAATTTGTATGTTAAAGGTGACCACATGTCTATTTATTACTGTAGTATATGTACATTCCCATATTTAGTTAACACTTTTCTGCAAAACCTGTTTTCAGGGAAGCCCTGTAAACTTTTTTTCAAAAAAGTACTTGCTGAACTATATGAAAAACCCTTTGATGATCGCTCTGAGGGATAAATAAAAAGGTATAAAAAGTTCATAACCCACCATTTCTTTGCACAATTTCAATTTATATGATGGTCACAGAATATTCTTTACTCATCTTTCTTTAGCTTTTCTATTAATCTTGAGTCTAACATTTCTAGTTAGAAAAACTGTTAGCCATCAAAACATCGGATTTCACTCCTCTTACAATTGCCAGGTTGAAACACATACTTGACAGCCTGTACAAACTGAAAAAAAAATACTTCCTGCACCCTTTATTACCAACCTTTGTATCATTCTAGTTCTTTGCAAGTCATTCCTCTTTTGTAAAATCATCTGATGTGAAAAGGCTCATAAAACCCTTACATATTTGCTTTTGGATAACTTTCAACGTGACCCTCTTGTGCAGTAAATAAAAATTCCATTTTTGTCAGATTTCAAAAAAGTTGTCATTTCCCCCTCAATTCATTTTCCTCCTGTATAAAAATGCATTTTTGATACATTTTCTACAGTGGAGTTTACAGAAAATAAAGTGACTGGTAATCCTACCATTTGAAGATGTAGAATAGTACATTTGTTTTAATCTGAATTGTTTTTTCATTTAAGGTGGAAATTTTCTGTTACTTTCTATGTTATATTAAATGGTTGCATAACGTTTTGTTATGGGGAAAGATGTGCCCTAATTTGACTAAAAACCTAAATGAAGTAAGTCTGATTCCAATTTTTTGCTATTATATAAAAGTAAGATAAGCATCTCTGAAAGTATGACTGGAACCCCTGGTGGCGTAGTGTTTAAGTGCTAAGGCTGCTAACCAAAAGGTCGGCGGTTCAAATCCACCAGGCGCTCCTTGGAAATTCTGTGGGGCAGTTCTACTGTGTCCTATAGGGTTGCTACGAGTCAGAATCGACTGGACGGTAATAGGTTGGAAAGTATGACCTTCAGGAGTACTGTAATAGTGCCCTTTGGTAAAAGGCCAAAAAACCCTAGAAAGGCAAAAAAACGAGTCTGTTTGCATTTCTCTGACCACTATGGCGAACGTCCTCTTCACGTGTTTAGTGGTTTGTATTTTTTTTCTTTTGCTCAAGTCCTTCCAGTTTCCATTAGAGCGTTTCTTCCCATTTCCCTTAAATTACAGATAACTCGCTGTGGGCATCCGCGCGCTCCTCCGCCGTTTAGCTCGCGAGCGCAAAGAGCCGTTCTCTAAGCGCGAGTGGGGCCAACCGCAATCTCGGCGCGTTTTTATCAACGCTTCCGGGTCATCGCGGGCCTCGAAGGACCAAAGAGGCTCCTAGGTAACCCCGCCCAACAGTGGGGGGTGGGACCCCGTTTCCTGCGTCTCGCGGGTCCGCAGCCTCAGGCCTTGGACAAAGGAGGCCGCGGAGCCGGAAGTGGACGAGCGCGGGTCGGAAGTGGACTGCACGGCCACCTCGGGTCGGCAGCCGCGAACTACACTTCCCGGAGTGCCGCTCGAGGCGCCTCCGGCGGGGGCCGAGGGCGGGCCGACGCCGCAGCTCCGGACGTGCGGCATGAGACGCGCCCTCCCGCGGCCCGCGCTTGTCCTGCTGCCTCCCCGAGGGTCGTGCGGCGCTGGGCCTACGCGGCGGGGATCGTGAGGCCTGCTCGCGAGCGGGGGCTACCGCGGCCGCGATGGAGGTGAGCGGGCCGGAGGACGACCCCTTCCTGTCGCAGCTGCATCAGGTGCAGTGCCCCGTGTGCCAACAGATGATGCCTGCCGCCCACATCAACTCGCATCTGGACCGCTGCTTGCTGCTGCACCCCGCCGGGCATCCAGAGCCCGTGGCCGGGCCGCATAGCGCCGGGGAACCGGCCAAGGGGCCCTCGCCGCCACGCTCGAAGAGGCGGCGGCTCTCGGAGAGCTCTGCCCTGAAGCAGCCCGCCACCCCGACGGCGGCCGAGAGTAGCGAGGGCGAGGGCGAGGAGGGCGACGACGGCGGTGAGACTGAGAGCAGGGAGAGCTACGACGCGCCGCCCACACCCAGCGGCGCCCGCCTCATCCCCGACTTCCCAGTGGCCCGGGCCAGCAGTCCCGGAAGGAAGGGGCCGGGCAAAAGGCCGGCCGCCTCGGCCGCCGCAGCGGGGAGCGCGTCGCCGCGGAGCTGGGACGAGGCGGAGGCGCAAGAGGAGGAGGAGGCGGTGGGCGATGGCGATGCGGACGGAGACGGCGAGGACGACCAGGGGCCCTGGGATGCCGACGCGGCCGCAGCCTTCGGAGGCAGCAGCGGGGGGCGACAGCATTCCCGGGCGCTGGCTGCCGAAGAGATCAGGCAGATGCTGGAGGGCAAGCCTCTGGCCGATAAGATGCGTCCTGACACGTTGCAGGACTACATCGGGCAAAGCAGAGCTGTGGGGCAAGAGACCCTGCTCAGGTCCCTCCTGGAGACGAATGAAATCCCTTCCCTCATATTGTGGGGGCCGCCGGGCTGTGGCAAGGTGAGTGCCGCCTTGACAGAAGGGTTCCCGGGCCTTCATCTCTGATGTGTACTCGCCTGAAAAACTCGGGAATGGATCCAACAGTCGAAGGTATTTGGGGTTCTTAAAAGGTGGCGTGAGAGTCTTTTGGGCTCACCTGGATATTAAGGCCTAACAGTGCAGAGGATCAGATACCGCTTGAGCTGGGGCAGTGCTCAGCCCACACAGGTGGAGTCTAACGTGCTAGAAAAGGCAACTCCCCTCCCCTCCATTCTTAAGACGTTTTTTAGTCGTCTTCAAAATTAAGATGCCTATAAATTCACGGGTTAACATGAATATGTGGACTCTTAGATTTGATCCATCGTTGTGTTCCATCGCCCACCCCACCCCCGACTTTTAGTGACCCAATTGTCGAGGAAACAACATACTACAAAAATTGCAAAGGGACATTTATGTTATATTTGTAAATATGTGGGTTCTACTTTGAATAAAATAATCAAAAAATTTTGTTATTTCTATGTTGTGCTTCCTCCTCTTTCCTCTAGTTGTTGGTTTATTTGGAAAAACTAATTTTTATTTATCCATGAGTATATAACAGGACTACAGTGAAACTCTTTTCCCTCTGAAGTCATTTTCAGCTAGCATTTCAATATGCCTTTTACTTTAGAAAAAGAAACATCAATGCATTTCGGTGTCCAGTTGTGTGTACTGTAGTTAGAAATTAGCACCAACTCCAGAGCAGGATAATAAGCATATTGTGGGCCTAGAAAGCATGTCATTTTAAGGACAATTGGAAGAAACTGGGGGTGTCTAGCCTGAAGAAAGACTAAGAGGTGTTCAGATATACGATTTTTTTTTTTTAAATTTGTAGGAAGAGGGAACGAAAGGAGCACCAGTGAGTGAAAAGCAAAATACAGGATCAGTTTAAAGGCACTGTTTTAGCTTTGAGATTCAGACCCCTTAGTACACAAGGACTTTATCCGTTTTCTCCCATTTTTCTTTCCAGCTTCATCTCCTACAACTTAACCACACCACCCTTTACTCCAACCAGAAAACCCATTGCTGTCGAGTTGATTCTGGCTTACAGTGATCCTGTAGGACAGAGAGGGCTGCCCGTAGGGTTTGCAAGGAACAGCTGGTGGATTCGAACTGCCAACCTTTTTGGTTAGCAGCCAGACACTTAACCACTATGCCACCAGGGCTCCAGCCAATTCATTAGAATGCTTCTGCTCTCCTATGCACTCGTGCTTTTCCTTTGAGAATAAATCAGATCTGTCCCAAATAACTTTTTACGATGGTAGTGGTGGTGTTGACATCTATCCCTGTGGCTTTAATTTATTACCCTATTTACGGAATTGAGCAGTGGCATTCTTACTACTTGTCTGTGAATTCTTTTCATATGATCATGAGAATGAATAATCAGTTGTTGGTCCCAGGTGTCAAGAAAAAGTCCCCAGGGAGATGAGGGTGAGTTCATAGAAAATGCCAGGCAAGCAATTAAGTGGGCCTTGCTGCTCAGTGTTGTGGTTGATGATCAGGCGCAAGCCTAGGCACAGTTCGATTCCAAAGGTGGGTAGGTTGGGGTTTGGTAAAGAAGCAGCTGCACAACTTTTAGAAAATAAAGTGCCACCTTTTCTTCCAGGAGCAGGTTTGTTCCTGTCGTTAAGACAGTCTTCCCTTTTTCTGAATTTCTGTCCTTACTACTATACTGCTCACAATTAAAAAAACCTGTTGCTGTTGAGTCAATTTCGGCTCATAGCAACCCTAGAGTGACCCTATAGGACAGAGTAGAACTGCCCCATAGGGTTTCCAGGGAGCAGCTGGTTGACTCGAACTGCTGACCTTTTGGTTAGCAGCCATAGCTCTTAACCACTGCACCACCAGGGCTCCACTGCTCACAATAGTAATATTTACAAAAGCGTATGTATATTTATGAAGCACCTGAGCAATGCTTTGTTTGGATCTCGTTTGTTTTATGGTAAGTACTAACATGAGCAAAGTGCTGTTATTGCATCCACTTTTAAAGTAGACGTTGAGTTGGCATGCAGTCATCTTAAATGTTAGGTAGCTGTCATTGGTCTTTCAACTCAAAGACTCATTCGTTCAGTCTTTTTTGTTGGTGGACAAGGGGGTTTTGAAGCCACACCGGTGAGCTTCCAGTTCCAGCACTGATTCCGTGCAGTCCACTTCTACACCTAGGTTCCTTTAGCAGTAGTGCTTTCTTGGGTGCAGCAGGGAGAATTTTCTTTTCTCTTTGGTGAGAGATCACAGCTGTCATTCAGACTGCTAAATCAAGACAGCCACTCTCTTTACTGGGATTCCAAAGATCTCAGAGTCCCAAGAAAAGGAATCAAAAAGGGTTAAATTACAAAGAAAAGGTTGAATTAGCTTAAGGTTTAGCTACTTTCCTGTTTTATAGATAATGTCCTTATTTTTAATTTTTTAAAATGGGTAGTGAAATTGCAGATTATATCTGTGCCACTAAGTGTTCTTCACATTTCAAGTTACTGGTTAAATAGTGCTGATTCTCCTTGTGTTAGTACCCATGGGTGCTTCTCCGTGTCAGATCAGCTTCCTAAGCTCTGTTTGTCATCTGTTCTAGACCACTCTGGCTCACATCATCGCAAACAACAGCAAGAAGCATAGCATAAGGTTTGTGACTTTGTCTGCAACAAATGCCAAGACAAATGATGTGCGAGATGTCATAAAGCAAGCTCAAAATGAAAAGAGCTTTTTCAAAAGGAAAACTATCCTTTTTATTGATGAGATTCATCGGTTCAATAAATCTCAGCAGGTATATTATCTTCTACCTTTGGACACTGGGAACATCAAATAGATTTGAAATCACTTTGAAAAGTATACAGCCCTGTACACATACTAGGTGCTCTCATTATCATTAACTCTGTCTACAAAGAAGCAGACTTGTCAACCCATCTGCTTCTAGCCTATTTTTCTCACATTTTTCCTTAATTTTTTTTGCGTGTGACCAAAAAAAAAAGACTATCTGGAAATGAAATGGTTGGCATTTGGATTGTTTCCAATTTTTGTTGTTAGGTGCTGTCAAGTCAGTTTCAACTCATAGCTACCCAGTGTGACAGAGTAGAACTTGTCCATAGGGTTTCCTAGGCCATAATCTTTACGGGAGCGGATCTCCAGGACTTGTCCAGCAGAGGCTCTGGGTGAATTTGAACCCCCGACCTTTTGGTTAGCAGCTGAGCGCTTAACCATTGTGCCACCAGGGCTCTTTCCAGTTTTTAGAGATTTTAAGTCTGTAGTCATAGTGAAGTTTAACTTGATTTTAAGATCATCGTTTGAATATATTTTCTTTCTCCCTTATAAAGTGTTACTTTTTATTTTGAGAATTAAAGAGTCTATATATTCTCTGTGACTCCAGGTTCTCATCAAGGTGAACGTTACAAGATCCAGTAGTTCTATTTACTCATCTGACTTTCTGAAATAAAAATAAAAGGATATAATTTATTTTTATAAACAAAACCACTCTTGAATTTTTCCAAAATAGACATTAAAATCTTTTTCAGCTATGCTTTTTTCTGTTACAACCACAGATAGAAATATTCCACAAAACTAATAATTTAGTATTTCTTTCCCCAACACAGCATCAGGTAGTTACAGTATTTGCATGTTTGTTAGGAAGAATACAATATGATTGAGTATTTGCAGTGGAAGATGGTTTTGGAAATGAGGGTTCATGTTTTTGTATTTTCTCACTCTTCTGTCTTTCTATATTTAAATTATATACTATTTCAACCTTGGGAGAAAAGATACTTCTCTACATAAAGAAATATTTTTTGTTGAAACTGAACTGGAATTGTCATCAGCTCTATTTGCCTACCAGCAAGAGACCAGGCTGAGATGTTGGCATCCAGAAGACACGTTTGGACTCAGAAAGCTAGGGCTGCGCTCTTTAAATGTTGCACTCATGTTCAATGAATATGAAGCTGCTATTCCTGAACTTGAAAGATAAAAGTTAGGAAAAGGGAGGCATTGATAGCCAACTTACATGGGATTCTGCAGGTTGTTGTTAACTGGAATCAATTTCTTCTGTTTTCCTCCCATGATCAGGACACTTTTCTTCCTCACGTGGAATGTGGGACGATTACTTTGATTGGAGCCACCACAGAAAACCCTTCCTTCCAGGTCAATGCTGCTCTTCTGAGCCGCTGCCGGGTGATTGTTCTTGAGAAGCTTCCAGTAGAGGCAATGGTGACTATTTTAATGCGAGCAATCAACTCCCTGGGAATCCATGTCCTAGACTCTAGCCGGCCCACTGACCCTCTGAGCCACAGCAGCAACAGCACTTCTGAGTAAGTTGGTTATGCAGTATCATGAGGGTGCATACTGCCCAAAAAATCTCTTGGCAGGGAACCAAGAAAGACTGGGAGTAATAAAGAGAGGGTGGGGACAGAGAGAAGAAAATGTTGATCTACTGGTAATGAAAATGAAAAGAGGAGGCAAGTGCAAAATTATACCAACAAGTATATGTCTGCAAACATTTCCTTTCTTTTAAGTTGAGATTTTATAGCTTAGGCTTGTAATGAGTGTGTCTGTAATTCTTTAACATTGTCTTGCCTGTTATTTTAGTTCCTGGATGTCTGCTTTTGTGCTTAGGGATTTGGTCCTTAATTTATGAATCTTTTGAGATTTGTACTCAGATTCCAATTTCTTTTTTTCTTGCTGCTTATTATTTTTTTTAATGTTAATAAAAAATTAATGTAAACATTAGCACACAATTCTTTAAACCTTTTTTTTTTTTTTGCGAAGTCTGAAAGTCAAACTGAGTTCTATGAAAGTAAAGAAATGTTAACTGAAAGTGGCTAATTGGATGCTGCCCCTTTCCTTTTGGTGATCTGTTTCTGTGTCATGAATAACATGAGTTTATCAATACACAGTATGTATCATGAATAACCAATTAGATTATTTGGGTCAGAAGGTTTTTCTTTATTTATATTATAATATGTTCTTCATATGTTATTCATCTGTGTTACCTAAAGTAAGCAGTCGAACATACTCTGGTCTGAGGAGAGGCTGATGCCCCTCTTCCTCGCCCTGTGTGCTCCACAGCTGCTAGTGTCTGCCCTGAGGCTAAGTCCTGGAGACCCTTTTCTGTGGGGATTAAAGTACAGGGCATAGCTTTAGGCTCAGGCTTTAGGTTTCAGCATTCTCTCTATGCATCTGACCTCTCCCATTTGCTCCTGTCTCACGTATAGGAAGAATTTGCTGTGCCTGGTGAGAGCCTTGAAACATTTGGCCAAGGATCCTCAGGCAGAATGTAGTAGCCTTGTTTTAGAATCAATTGTGATGGGCTAGCCTTCGAATTGTGGCCAAAAATGAGTAATGGACTTTTTTGTATTGTACTGATTTTGTATTGATATTTAGGAGTCTCTTGTATGCTGGGTACTTATCACAGTTTGATGGTGGCTACTGCTTGCCCCTTATATCTGGTATAGCTTTTCTTTAAACAAAATTTTCGTTATAAAACTCATATAATCAAGTAATAAAGAAAAATTGCAAGAGAAAGGAGAAAAAAAATCCCTAATTCCTAACACAACCACTGTTGACATTTTGTTGTATTTCATTCTAACTTTTTTCAGTTTGCTAGTTATCTAATCTATCTACAACTTTATATCCTGTGTTTTCACTTATTTAGGGTAATTTTTATTTGTTTTCATGCCATTATTTCCTGAGATTTAGTTTTTCAGATACCCTCAGGTTTTCTTCTCTCTCCGGTCACTGCCAGATCATGAAATTATGGGTCTGGGTTTGGAATGGACCAAAAAGGCAATAGTACCATTGAGCTCATCCTCATAAAGAGGAGTTCTGCAGCAGAGCTTTGAACTGGTTCGTTCTGGTTCGAACCCTTGCTGAGAATTTGCATTTCCAACAGATTCCCTGCTGAGAATTTACATTTCCACCCCAGATATACCGAATCAGAGTCTACAGTTTAACAAGATCTGCAGGTGATTCTTATGTATAACTTCCTGGGAACGTGTTAGAAATGCAAATTATCAGCAGGGAACCTTTTAGAAATGTAAATTCTCAGCATGGGTGTGAACCAGAACGAACCCATCGGAAGCCCTGTCCTGCAGTCTGACAGGCTCCCCCGGTGATGTGTATGCACATTAAAGTCTGAGAGAGTCAAGTGAAAGAATTAACATTTCTTTCAGTTACTGAAACTAAGAGCCTGATACAAAAGAGAGACAGTGATTCGTAGATTGCTAAAATTACGTTTCAGTCAGAGAAAACCTCCCATATCCAATAGATCACTTATTTTGCTATCATTAGCAGTCATTTATAATGGATTCTAATTATGGCTTCTCATTCTCTTCTCACCATCATCCCTAAACTTGTATCATGTTTACTTACTTATATCCCCACATTACTGCAAGTTCTGTGAGGACAGGAACTTGTCTTTCTTGTTCATATCCCCAGCACCCAGCAAGGGCCTGACGTACAATACGTGCTGATAAATGACTAAGTGAGTAAATCCTAGCTTTCAATACGGCAGACATGGTTTAATTTGGGAGGAGAGAAGAAGGGAATTATAGACCAAAATAAGAGATGATTGCCTCATTGCCCATGTATGGAGAACCTTTGTCTTTAATGTTATTGCCCTTCTCGTTATCAGCACACAAAATGAAATTAAAGAGTATTAAACTTTGATCCATTAATTGGGCTACTTGGTAGCAATTCTCATAAGTTAGGAGATGTCAGTAGACCACAGAAAGAACTCTTACATTGTATGTGATTTCTTAAGTGCCTGCCACGCCAATTGCTAAGTTAGACTCAATTGTACTGTCTTTAAGTGACTTTAGGTAAAATTTTACTTTCAGATGCCTATTGACTAGCACCAACTATAACTACCTTCTTGTGGACATAAATCAGTTTCCATTATACTAATGTCACTGGAAGAAAGGTCTTTTAACCCCCAATAACTCCTTTTTCTCTCTGGGAAGGTATGAGTCTGCATTTGAATTCTTATGTCTTGTTGTAGTACCCTGGATGGCAGCTAGAACATTTACAGAGAAATTAATAGACTATCCATGCTGTGCATCACAGAAGATTGGTAGGACTGGACTCAAAACTAATTACACTGACACAGCATCCCTGGTACTTGAGAAATTGTGAATTCTCATAGTCTATATGTGTACATGATAAATTCTATCTAGACTGAAGTAAAAGTATTTGGGGAGTCTTAATCATCCAGTGCTGCTATAATAGAAATACCACAAGTGAATGACTTTAACAAACAGAAATTGACTCTCTTACAGTTTAGGAGGCTAGAAGTCCGAATTCAGGATGCTAGCTCCAGGGGAAGACTTTCTGTCTCTGTCGGCTCTGGGGGAAGGTCTTTGTCATCAGTCTTCCCCTGATCTAGGAGCTTCTCAGTACAGGGACCCTGGGCCCAAGGGACACACTCTGCTCCTGGCTCTTCTTGCTTGGTAGTAACAAGGTCCCTTCCTCTCTGCTCGCTTCTCTCTTTTATATCTCAGAAGAGATTGACTCAGGATACAGCTTAATCCTGTAGATTGTGTCCTGCATCATTAACATAACTTCCTTTAATCCTGCCTCATTAACATCATAGAGGTTAGGATTTACAACACATAGGATAATTACATCAGGTCACAAAATGGAGGACAGTCACACAATACTGGGAATCTTGGTCTAGCCAAGTTGACATGTGTTTTGGGGGGACATAATTCAATCCATAATATTCCACCCTTTGGCCCCCCAAAATTCATGTCCTTGCCACCATGTAAAACACATTTATCTCATCATACCATCCTAAAGTCTTAAATCAACTCCAGGTCCAGAATCTCATCTTCTGCAAAATTCCTCTACATCTGTAATCTTAAAATACAAGTTACCTGCTTCCAAAGTACAGTGGTAGATATTTCAATTACAAATGGGAGAAAATGGAGGGAAAAAAGAGATAATGGGCATCAAGCAAGTCCAAAGCCCAGCAGAATAATTTACATTACCTCTCAAGACTTGAAAATAATCCTCTGTTCTCTGAGACCACTTAAGCAACAGTTCTGCCCTCCAGACTCTGGGTGTTGACCATGCTGTCTAGATTCTAGGTGGAGGCCTCTTGGCCTTGGGCTTCAGCTCTGCCTTCTAGGCCCACTGGGATGGCAACTCTGCTCCGTTGGCTTTGGGCGGCCCCATTCTACTAGTCCATCTGAGTGGCGACTCCACCCCTTAGTCCCTAGCAGGCCCGTTCTTCTACCCCTTAGCAGTCCCGCCCTCTCAGCTTTGGGCAGTGGATCTGGCCCCGTCCCCCTGGCACTTGTGAAAGGCAGTGCCACACTCCAGAACTGAGTTGATGATCTGACTTCGAAATCTAGGAGGCTGTGGCCCTACCCTTTGAGGCCCAGCAAGTCTTGGTTCCACCATTTGAGACCCCAGAGGTCATGGCCCCACCCTCTGAGACTGAGGCAGCTCTGCTTCCCGTGCTCCTTTGTCTCTTCAGCTTCTGGTTCCTTGGCCTCTCGGCATGAAGGCACCCAGCTCTCTCACTCTGCAGGTCTGCAAGCCTAGCTCTGCCAACAAGTGCCCAGAGGCACAGGGTTTAATTTTTTTCCTCTTATATTTATTAATTCAGTAGAAATTGGCAGCTTTGCATGTGCTAGGCCTTGGCTGAGTATTGAAAAGAGCATATTCTTGTGCCTTTAGAGAGCTTTATAGTATGAGAAAGGGATAGGCAAGCAGGTAGGTGTGAAATGGCGCAGGGGCGGTATCTCACCTCCTCTAACTTCAAGAAGGGGAGAGAGAATCATTATCAGCATCAACAGCCCAAGGCTGATTCTTCTGAGGCAGAGGTCAGACATGCCTCCAATGTCCAACTGTCCCTCCCACGGTACTCTCTACTTCTCTGCTGGGTTTGATAATTCGTTGCAGTGTCCACACAGAACTCAGACCATACTCACAGTTACAGAGTTTATTAGGGAAGTAACAGGTTACAGTTGAGGTTCAGCAATGCTCAGGATGCAGTTCTTCGATCAGGAGGAGGTCAGGCATGCCTCCACCCTCCAACTGTCCCTCTCATGCCACTCTACTCTGCTGGGTTCAATAATTTGTTGCAATAGCCACACAACTCACAGACCTTATAGTTACGATGTTTGTTAGGGAAGTAACAGGTTACAGTTCAAGTTCAGGAATGCTCAGGATATAGTTCTTTAATCAGGACAGCCTCTTCTCAGCCATGCTGCACACAGGCCTCCTTCTAGGCTCTTGGCCCCCCAAGGGACTTCTTGGGCTGGCCTGTTCTCTGCCCTGCTCGGGCAAGAGTTACAAAGTTATTTTA